TAGATTAGTCGCGTTTAAGAAGATCAATTTGCTAACAATTGATACTTTAATTTCTGATTTCATTCTTGGGATCATATAAAATATTTATCAATGAGTTCAGGGTTATAGGGTTCCCAGGGTAAATTTATTGTTACTTGGACATTATTTTATTTATACAAACTGTAAATTATAAAGCATTCTCATCTATAATATACAAGATATCTAAATTTCTTACAAAATACAAGTATACTTTAAATAAAATCTTCTATATTAAAATAGCAAGGTAATGGCTAAAATTAATCATCTATGGTGCAAAATTATGGTTTACACACTTAGACATTACTATAAGTGTATGAGCAATTCATAGGGATACTGCAAATTACATATTTAAATTATTCATTCATTCAACTGAATTTATGAGCCATAAATTTTCCTTTTTCTTCTCTTTTCTTTTAATTTCTCTGTAATCATTAAAGCTTCACTTAAATAATAATGATTCATTAGCACCGTTTAATACCATTAGAAAATTGAGTAGCACAAAAAATTAGATACCAAGTCACTGAACAATATATTTTTATTCACACACACACACACACACACACACACACACACATATATGCACACACACACATATATATGTATATATGTGACAAATATGTGGGTGATCATATACAGGTGGCCATGCTGATGCAGATGTTGGTGGCTAACAAATTTCAAATGTCAGAGCTACTACTCAGTTGAAATCTGCCTGAGATTTTCTGCATGAATTATCTGTGGATTATCTCATGTAATCTTCCAAATTATTTTTTAAAATTCTACTCATAAATTACAAAGATCCAAAATTAGTATTCAAAATCCAAGTTTGCAATAAAGTAGAACTTTGTTAAGTTTTATTCAAAACTCTGTACAACAGTCTGGTATAATGATGCAGCTCTCGCTATGTGGTGGTGGCACATGCTTTTAATCTCAGCACTCTGGAGGCAGAGGCAGGTGGATCTCTGAGTTTGAGGCCAGCCTGGTCTACAAGAGCTAGTTCTAGGACAGGCTTCAAAGCTACAGAGAAGCTTTGGCTCAAAAAAAAAATGAAGATGCATCTCTGTAAATCATCCTCCATTCTGACCAGAATTCAAAGGATGGGTTATAGCCATCAAGTGCTATATACTTATGTAGTATCTAACTATCTATGGATGCTAATTTATCATTTTCAGATTTCAAGGTATTGAATACCAACCTTAAATAGTAAGTAGATGTATGTGATTTGGAAACACATCTGTAGGTCTTGTTTTAAGACTTTTAATTAAAAGAATTAGAGTTCTCATTGTGTATATTCTTTTAAATAATCATAACTTATAATTGTTTGAATAATATAAAAATACCAAAATAACACAGAGACTGCACATTATTTTCTTTTGTAAAATATATGGTGAAAATGTTGAAGAAATAAGGGATCTCAACATATTTTTTTTCAATGAATTGGCTCTGTTCTCAGGAAGGATGGGTATCTCTTGGCTTATGGACTCTCTTCTGGCACGTGGTTAAGAAACTCCTCTTTGTTCTTTAAGATATCTTATAGACTAGATGAGAGATAATGGCTCAAGTTTATGTGAATGATGATGGAGATTATTTTGAGGTTCCTGTGTTTAAAGGCATCATCCTATGTTCCTTATAAAGCCTCTAGAAGAGCAAATGCGGTCTTCATTCATAAAATTAAAAAAAAATGGAGCCAACAGTTCAAATCCACTAAAAGCAGCTTACTTGGTGATCTACATTAAAGTATGAAAAGAAAGAGTCCTAGAAAACTTGCAATAAAGGAGCATTCTAAAGGGCCCACAAGTACTATACAATTTAACTTTAAAGGCGTGCTTCTTTAAAACAGGAAAAACATATCTAAAAATGCAAATTTTCTATAATTATATGAATAATTGAAGGAAAGCTTTATCATCAGATTTTTTAAGTGAATACAAGTATTGGAAAAATGGGTACTCTTGCCAGTTGAATTCATAGTAAAATCCTGTCTCAAATAAAAGTAATAATGGTTACATTATCTTATGGGTTAAATGACCAAGATTAAAGAAAAACACAATGTGGAGGAGATAAAGTGTAGTTTCTAATACTAAATCAATATATTCAGATAGTTTACTCAGGCAGGTATCTGGACGCTTGCCAGTGTGGGGTATATATATTTCTACAGACAGGTCTTCTGCTTCATTGATGCGGTTACTTCAGCACCCTACAATGTTCTTGTCACTGCTGTCTGATTGATTTTTTTCCCCATGTAATGTGCCATGACCTTTCATTGTTAGGGGAATCAAGACAAGTTAAAATCTATTCAAATAATCTCTAAAGAAATGAATTATTGCTATTTTACCTTGAGAAAGAAAGAAGATAACACAATTTGATTTGTCATGTAAGCAAAAATATCTTCATTTTTACCTTTGAAACAAGTATCTGGTGGCTGAAAACAATTTTCTGTCAGGTCCAAGTTTTCTTTAAACAATGTCACCTTGTTCACTATTGTCACACAGGAACAAAGAAACACAGTTGATTGAAATAATTTCCTTGACAGTTGGGAGGTGTCTTATCAGTCATTATTTTTTCTTTGTGAGTCTCATCTTAGCATTAAAATGACTTATGGAAGCATTGTTAAACCCTGTAGAAAGCACAAGTGGTGTCAGTCACAATCTTAATCACATTGGTAATTATTAACATTACATTTCAATCAGTCTCTTAAAATATCAATATAAACAGCATACTCTAATGTCAGTCTGGGATGATGAATCCAACTACAGCTGTATAAAATATCTGCTTTCTCAGAATTTCAGTTGTTTTCAGTAGCCACTGGAGACTCCTTTGTTTAGCACAGACTCATAGATTACACCTTGCTTCTCACACTTTACTTCAGGCTTCGTGCATGCAATAGTATTAGTGCTTTGAAATGATTATGTCTGGAAAATTGTTAGTTATAGCAATTACAGCCCAAAATGTAAGACAGTACCATAGCTCCTCCAATTGCTGCTCAGGTCAATATTTCACCCTTTTACTTCTGTAATATTTTAAGTCATACACTTGTTTGTGAAGTTTGTGAAGATCTGGTAGAGAGCAAGCATTTCTGTATCACACCCTTCTCCCCCTCCTCCATCCCAACACAACCACAACTTTCTTTGTGTTTGTTGGAGGCTGATGTCTGTGTTTCATCTTCTAAAAGATATTGACATTTCCCATATACATTGGCAGTATGTACAACACACAGCATCACTGCAAAGCCAGTAGGTATTTGGCTGCAGTTACTTCACTTCTCCTCATGGCTTGTTTTTTTAAAAATACTTTTATATATACCTATCCCATAGTTTTTTTCTGAAAATTAAAGTGATTTTTTGAAAAAAAAACTTTCTGGATTCTCAAGAGACTGCTTTGCTTAAAAATAATTTTATTTTCCAAATATAATTTTCTCTTTATATTTCTACATAATTTGTATGGTATTTAAACAACAGAGCCATACATTTCAGTTCTGAGGAACTGTTCTGTAATTTGATAATTTCAACCCATAATTATTTTGCATTAGGCATTTTTTGGAATGCTTGTGAATATGCATAAATATCCAAGCTTCACACTCCTTTCATTTTTCATTTATATGTTTTATTTCTATTTTTTCTTTAAAATGTCTTCCAATTTACTTTAGATCTTTTCTTGACTGTGTTTGATCAACCCTGCTCATTTAGTTTCAGGTATTGTTTTGTTTACTAGCATTTGTCATTCCTTTAAAATAAATCATATATGTGCTATGAACTGAAACTCTCCATGTGCTTCTGAAGATGCTGAATTTTCTGATAAAAATATCAATTTCCCCATCATTTCTAACTTATCATATGTATGTTTGAGTGTTTATATGTGTATATGTTTGTATATTCTTAAGTGGTTTATCTCCCTCTTCAGTTTACAGATTTCCAGACTTATATTCATTGACCCTAGCCCAGACAGACATATTCATGCATTTTTTGGGCTGAATATGCTAAGCCTTCTGTAGACTGCATTCCTGCTGGAGAAGAACAGCCCATGCTCATGCTCATTCTGAAGACTCAGGATTCTTTCTCCCTCCCATCATTTAGCGGCATGATTCTACTCCATTAACAAGCCTGAAACAAACTCTGAAAAGTCCTGGGTCCTCTTTTGTAGCTATCCCTCTGCTCTGTATGAAATATTTATAAATGTACATCATTCATTGCTTTTTCATTCCAGGTAGTTCTGAGACAGAAAATTCATAAATGTGTGTGCGTGTTTAAATTTCCACCTTATGTTCTAGATAACAGAGAGGGAAATAAGGAATGAAGGAAAAGAAAAGTGCCTGTGAGGCTCTGAGAAGGGACAACACTTGTTTCTTTGGTGGAATGAATGTGATATGTACATGCCCACAGACAGGGTCAAGTTACAGTGTTCCAAATGTGATTGCATAAGAAGGAAAAAGATGGGCTTGTGTAGTCGGCATTTCTTAATAAGCATTTTTATAGATTTTTAAAGAAATAAGAGCCAAGTTTTGAAAGATCTTGGTTTTCATTAATATGAAGGGTGAGCATATGAAAGAAATATATTTTTGAATGATCTAATTAATTGTTACTTCTTTGTATGTATCTTAGGTCCAGAGTATGGCAAAAAAGAGTCATCCTGAATGGAAGGAAAATGTATTCAATTATGGGCCTGTATTTTAGGCATTTACAGTGGTTCCAAAATTGCACTATGAAATCTCATGTTCATGACATCTCATTTTTAAGGAATAAAAATATTTTCTAATGAGGGTGATATGAAAATATTCTTATAGGTTCTCAGGTTTCAGTAAGATATTTTGTTAATATATGTTTTCTTTACTCTAGATTTATACATGAGTTAGAAGATGATTCAAAGTACACTGTCCCATGCTTAGCAGTTATGAGCAATGGAAGTCTGGTGAAATCATGAATCAAATTATTTTATTGTCTTTTATGTAACATTATTGCATATGCTTCTAAGAGAGTCTTAGGGAACACCTGATGGATAGTTATAATCAAACGTTTACAGGTTTTATTTTATTGGGATTGTTCCCACCATCACAAACAGGTCTATTTCTCTTCATTATCATTGTTCTCATCTTCCTGACAGCTTGGATTGGCAACCTGTCTATGATCCTCCTCATCCTCCTGGAGTCCCGTCTCCACACACCCATGTATTTCTTACTCAGTCAGCTTTCTCTCATTGACTTAAATTACATCTCTACCATTGTCCCTAAAATGGTGTCTGACTTCATATTGGGTAATAAGTACATCTCCTTCACTGGGTGTGGATTTCAGATCTTCCTCTTCTTGACTTTTGGGGGTGCTGAAACTCTTTTGCTGGCTTCTATGGCCTATGACCGTTATGTGGCTATTTGCTTTCCTCTCCACTATGCCACACGCATGAACAAAAGAGTCTGTGTGCTGATGATAATAGGATCTTGGGTGCTGGGGTCCATTAACTCCAGTGCTCACACTGGGTATGCACTTCACATTCCTTACTGCCGATCCAGGGCCATCAATCATTTCTTCTGTGATGTCCCTGCCATGTTAACCCTGGCCTGCATGGACACATGGGTCTACGAGTACACCGTATTTGTGAGCACAATCCTCTTTCTTGTGTTTCCATTTATTGGTATAGTGTGCTCTTATGGTCGTGTTTTCCTTGCTGTCTACCGTATGCATTCTGGGGCAGGGAGGAAGAAGGCCTATTCTACTTGTAGCACTCACCTCACCGTGGTAACTTTCTTCTATGCACCATTTGCTTACACCTATCTACGCCCGAGGTCCCTCCGATCCCCAGCAGAAGACAAGACTCTGGCAGTCTTCTACACAGTCCTCACCCCAATGTTCAATCCCATCATCTACAGCCTGAGAAACAAAGAAGTTATGGAGGCACTGAGAAGGATAACTCACAGAATTTGCTTTTCAAAAAATATTGACAAGTTACCTACCTGAGTCTGTGATTTAAAAGCAAGTATACTCAATATTGGTATTTGTCAATTAAATCATAAGAACTGAAATATTCCAAGAGAGATTAAGGCATTTAGTAATGGGCTCAGTCTTATAAGTGAAAATTAGAAACAAAAATGTCATTCTTTTTTCTTTGCCTCTCAACATTTTTCTTTACCTTTATTTTTGGAACTATAGTATAATTACATTTCTCCCTTACCTTTCCCTCCCTCCAACCCTCCTTTATGCCACTTCCCACTTTCCTTCAAATTCATAGCTTCTTTTTTTATAATTGTTTGGAATGCGTATATGCACATGTACACACACACACACACACATTTATGTATACCTGCTCATTTGCTATAATTTTACTTGCATTTATGCTTTAGGGCTGACTGTTTGGCACTGGATCACCAAGTAGTGTTCTATTTCTTGGAGAAAGCCACCTTTCCTAGCTCCCAGCTTTGCTTTTCTTCAGTGGTTTTTGGATCTTTGTTGAGGGTTGAAGTCTCATGTGCTTTTACTTGTCCACTTTCATATCTATTGGTGTTTTTGTTCCTCTCATGTTTGGGCAGTCATATTGGTGACTTTTTGAATGTAACTTCTGATAATAGTAGGAGATACAACATCACTACAAAGTACCTGATGATCTGGGTTCTTATAATCTTTCTACCCCCTCTTCCACAATGTTTCTGAACCTTAAGCGTAGAAGTATTTTATAGGTATATCCACTGAAGGTAGGCCTTTACAACTCTTCATTTTAATTGGCTTGTGACTTTCTATAGTGGTTTCTATCAGTTGAAAACAGAAGTTTCCTAGTTGGGTGAAGATTTATATATATAATATAATATAATATAATATAATATAATATAATATAATATAATAAATATATAAATAAATATATAATATAAATATAAATAATATAAATAAATATAATTTACATATATATAAAATCTATCTATATCTATTGGCATAAGGAAAAATGTTTATAAGTTATTGTTAGGGATTAGGCTGGTTTAGTAAGTTAGTGATTGTAGATTCTCCTCCAATAACCATGATTTTACTAGTACTGAGTAGTTATCTAGGTTTTCCTCTTGTAAAGAGGGTCTTAAGTCAAATTAGACAGCTATTGGTAACCACCAAAGAATTCATGCCAATAGTATAATCTTAGGGCTTTAATGCTATGTGGATCATTGATGTTGTCTATAGGCATTATACCTGGGTAGGACTCTTGGTTGCCTCCTTCTTTGGTAAACATTCATGATGCCTTATGCTATCATGAAAATGAGCCCTCAGTTAGGGGACATTCAGATTAGTTCCAGCTCAGGAGTCTTTGGGAGCTGTTTATGAAATGTATGATATCTTTAGCAACAGCTACTTCTACCTATGTGAGGGTGGATAACCAAGGGCAATAGGAATAAGTTGTATATTTTAGGAGTCTTTTGAGTAGCCCCAGCCGACAACTAAAATAATGGCTTTTTGTGTCTGATATTGGGATTTTTGTTAGGTGGTCCTTGAATCTTGGAGTGAGTACCATCAACCCAAATGAGAAAGTTCATAAAAAATATATCTGTATGTTTATACATGGAAATTATATGTTATAGATTTTTATACAAACAGTTGAATATATGATTCTTTGTGGCTTTTCAGACATCCTTATTGTTCTATTTGCTTACCTTTTTTTCCGCATTACTTCTCTCCCTCTCCCCAAAGAATTTCCCTTTCTATGTTTTATATATATATATATATATATATGTGTGTGTGTGTGTGTGTGTGTGTGTGTGTGTGTATAAACATACACAATACACACACAATAAAAGATAGGCCAGGAATTTTAAATATAGCAAGGTAGGGGGTGTATGTGAAAGTTGCGTGGGAGGAAAGGAAATGGAAAATAATTTAATTCTATTATAATCTTACAAAATTAATAAAAATATTAATAAATGAAAACCTTTAAGTAGCAGATGGAGACTACTACAGAAATATAGAGCTGGTGAGAATGAAGAGAATAAGTGACCCTGTGGTTCCCACCTGTAAAAGAGACATCTACAAGACTCAGAAACACTGTGAAAATATGGGCACAAAGACCAAGAATAACAAGAGAAGTTGCTGTTAAATAGCAACTTCTAGACAGAAGAGTAAAGATAGATCCATGAAATCTCAAAAATATGATTGCCTAAAGATGGCATATATATAGTGACCAAATCAATTGACATAGTAACATGTTGCATGAAATTTCACAAGGGCTCATCATGACCTGAAGGACTGGAGAGAAGCAATGGCTATTGAGAGAGGGAGAATCAGTTTTCTCCAGTGATAAACCATGCATAGCTTATCCAGGCATAATTTGTCAGTCTGAGACACATGTACATAAGAGCAACACTAGGTTGATATTTATAATTATGAAGAAGGGGTCATAGCTGTTTGATGGAGCTGGAAAGAAGGGTGAGATGGCCTAGATATGTAAACTATAGTCCAAAGGATCATGGTACAAATAAAAGGAACAAATGAGAATTCTCTAAATCATCAATTCCATGATATCATTTTTATTGCTTCAATTCCCATAAATATTCAGCCTGTCACAGATATATTCTAAAATATCTCATCTATATTATAAAGATGTATTAAGTGAAAGATAGTTACATTTACTTATAAGGTATTATATAGTACTTCATACATGCATTCATTGAATGATAGAATTAGGGGAATAAGCCAATCTATCCATTGAAGTTTTAAACTTCATTGGAGGAATACCTTCAGCTTTCTCTACTTTGAGATATGAGACATTATGTTTAACTATATTTATCTCACTATGTCATAGCACAACAGGACGTATTCTAGTTAAGAAGAACAGAACTGGAATAAGTATGGGTGTATACAGCTCTTAAAAAAATCTCTGACTTTGTTTTCTTTAAATTTAGGCACATTAGAATAGCACACAGATTATTTTGAAATCTGACCACCTATTGTATCATAGTTCTCCATTCTTCTAATCAAACATCATTTAATAACTATTATATTTTTTAGAGAACAATTATACCTGGGATAAAGTAGTACTTTCTGGTGATTAGTTTTAATATTTTATAGCACTTCATAACTTATATGTTGCTCCATTTCAACACAGTTTCCCATATGGATATGGTCACTTAAAATGTATATAATCAAAGATACAATAGGTTGTAAATATGCAACACACAAAAGATTTTGAATAATGAAAGCAAAATATGTGAGCAAAGAAATAATTATATGCCAAGGTTTTAGAAACGATTTGTCAAATTGGCATAAATAGTATCACATTTACAGAAGCATTTGTGCACTTATAATGCATCTACATCATGTCTGAATAGCACTGCAAATTATTGTTAATATTTCATAATTTTATCATTGGCCATAATGTTACAAATTAAATAACCACATTGTACTAGTATGCAATAATGAATATATTATTTAATCTTAATAAGTAATGAATCACCAGAAATTTTATGATGTGTGTTGCACACCTTACATTTTCAATAGACAGCCCTGCTCTATGACATTCTCCAGGGAAACAGAAAGAAGAGTAGAGAAGAAATAATCAAGTTTTTGAAGAAGAGAATGTCCCAAAGACTCTTGTCATGGCCCCCAGGACCTCCTTATTCCTCAGGCTATAGATGATGGGGTTGAGCATGGGGGTGAAAATAGTATAGAAAACAGCAAGAATCTTATCTTCTGTTGGTGAACGAAGACTGCTAGGTTGAAGATAAGTGTAGGTAAAAGGTGCATAATAAAATGTCACCACAGTTAAGTGAGTTGAACATGTGGTGAAGGCCTTTTTCTTTCCCTCTTTTGAGCGCATGTGAAAGACAGCAAAAATGATCCGTCCATAGGAAGCTGTGATGCCAAGGAAAGGAAACAGGAGGAAAACAAAGGTGCTCACAAATATCATGTACTCGTACACCCAAGTATCCATACAAGCCAGGGGCAGCATGGCTGGGACATCACAGAAGAAATGGTTAATGGACCTAGAATGACAGTAAGGAATATGAAGGGCATAGACCGTATGTGCTAAAGAGTTTATTGAACCAAGTGTCCAGGACCCGATAATCATCTTCAGACACGTCGTTTTACTCATGCGAGTGGGATAATGAAGAGGGTGGCAGATGGCAACAAAACGGTCATAGGCCATGGAAGCCAGGAGCAAGCCCTCAGAACATGACATTGTCACAAAAAAGAATGATTGTACTCCACATCCCAGTAAGGTAATGCTTTTCTGGCCAGAGAGGAAATTATATGCCATCTTGGGAACAGTGGTAGAAATATACATCAGGTCCATGAGAGAGAGCTGACTGAGGAGAAAGTACATAGGGGAATGGAGTCTGGGATCCACACGAATGAGGTGGATCATTGTTGAGTTGCCAAACAAAGCCAGGGAGAACACAAAGATGATGAGCAGCAAAAGCAGAAGACCTGTTTGGTTTTGTGGAAGCAGTCCTAACAAAATGAAGTCACTTGAGCTCTGATTCCATTTCTCCATGGAAATGTATTTCTTTTTCTTTCTTGTAAAAAACCCTAAAAGTGAAATACATTGTCATATGACATAGGAAAAGAGAATAAATAGGAATTGGCTTGTAGTGAATGCTTGCATTGAATTGTTCACCCTCCAGCATTGTCTTTCCATTGTACTTGTTTTGAAATCCCAACTGAATATTACTTTCCCCTTACTTCTGGCCACAGTTTCAATTCAAAGGTTGTGGCAACATGAATAAGATAGCTAACGTATTTTGTATTAGTAACTCCACATGAGCCTGTTGTTCAACATATTTGAGTACAGACTCTGTTTCCCCAATGTCTTCTTGTCTGCTATCCTCTGCAAGACTGTCATTACTGGCCATGCTTCCCCAACTGGCCCTATAATATACATATCCCATGTTTCAAAAGTCAAACAAGCAAAGAGTAGTTTGAGGCAATTAGTCACATACAATAACAAATGCATGGCATTTCATGTGCCTATGCTGAGCACAAATACA